AGGGATTGGAAAATCGTGAAATTGATTTTTGCCGAGTTTACACCTAACTGACCCTGACCCTCAAGTGGTCTGCAGAGGCTGAGCACTCACTTGCTCAAACTAACCTACTTCTCTCTCTAGGCAGGTGACAACAATTGAGTGAGTACTGAAGAGAAATCCCAATTCCTGTTACCTCCTGTTCTGTCTCTAAATTGATTGTTTATTGTTTCTATTTATCTGAATTGTGGGGAACAAAATGGCCGATTCTGAGAAGGGCGAAGTGCCTAAGAAGGGTGAGAATTCTGAAGTGAAGCCTCAGGTACCGCTCAAGACGTCGGTTCTGCTTGACCCTCTAGAGGCTGAACTACGGGCCCAGGAGAGATACTCCGCCAATAGGCCAAGGCAGTTGAGTCTCTAAAGGCTGAGCTGAAGAGGAAGGAGGAATCTGCCAGAAAAGAAACAAGGAGGGAACTCGCAACTGACGTGGAGAAGGTTAGGACTAGTGGCAGCTCCAGTCTGCATGACGAAATTCATCAGTCCTATTTTACTAACTGGGATGCCAGGATCACCAGTCTGGAGGACAACATGGCTGAGCATACTCAACAACTGAAAGATATTTCCTCCAAACTGGACCGTCTCTTCGTCCATTTGCAGATCCCACCTGCTCAGACAGCTCCTCCCTCTTCTGGGCCTTCTCAAGCAGGCTCTCAGCAGATCCCACAATCCAGACCCACATCTCCACCCTCTACCCCCAAATCAACAGCAGCTTCACAAGCCTCGGCACCATTTGATTTCCAGTGGCCCAAGCTGACACCTCCACCCATGTTTTCAGGGGAAGACCCGAAGGTGGATGTTGCAGATTGGGTCATTGCCCAGAGAACCTACCTGAGTGGGTTCAAATGTGATGAGGATGTCAAGGTGTCTGCCATCGTGCTCGCTTGGAGCGGACTGCACTGAAATGGTGCACTTCCACCTCCAGCAAGCAAGGGATGGAAATGTCTGATTGGGCACAGAGGTTGGGGGTGGCTGGTTTTCTGCAGGCCCTGCAGGATAGGTTTGCAGACAAGGAGCAGGCCAGGAAAGCAGCAGATAAAATTATGCGCATGGGCCAAAAGAAATTTGATGGCTTCTTGTCCAAACTCTTTTCTACCTTTGAGAGTCTAACTTCGACTTCAGGGTTAGAGATGAGTGAGCATGATTTGCTCATTCATTTCTTGCGTGCAGCGCCTGAGCAATACCGGCTGACTTTATTCTCTCAGGGCCACAAGGACTGGTGGTCCTTTGGCAGAGCAGCCCTGGACTTGGAGTCCAAGCTCCATGTCCAAGAAGCAGCTTCTGAAGGAAGGAAGAGACCCTCCTCCAAAGGGCGAAGAAAGAGGAAGGGTGCCCTGTTTGCTGCTGCAGCTTCAGGATCAGATAGTGACGCAGCATCTCAGGGTGGGAGCC